TTTACTATATATATATATATATATATATATATATATATATATATATATATATATATTGCACAAAGTTAAAACAAATTATGAATGCTAAATAAATAAATAAAAGCTTTATAAATTGGTTTTAGTTAGTTTAAAAAGATTTGAAATTTGGAGAAATTTCAAAGGAAACCGTTGTCCTTTCTTTTTAGGACGGTTTTGGTTCTGGAGTTGAGGAAAAAAGAAACGAAGAAGACAAACTTCGATTTACTCCCCAGCTTTCTGGCAATTCTCAAATCAATTTGAGGCTTCAGAAGTTCTCAGAATCCTTAATTAGGCCCTCACCAACATTGTTCACCGTAGATGTCCAAGCGGCCGCAGCACCTTGACGCTGTACAGTAGGTGGCTATTGAAGTTGAAAATAGCTAAAAATGTTGTGTGTTTTTCTCCCAAAAGTTTTTACCATCTTTAATTTGCTCAAATTTGGGAAAGGAAAAGAGAAAATAAAAATAAAAGGAAGGGTTTAAGAGAACAAAATGGCTGAAACGGTATAATATAATCCCTCCTTCATCGTCGGATATGTCATTTCAATTTCCGATAGCGATAGAAAGGTTAAAAACTCACGGGAGACCATTATTGCTATCCCATTCCCACTCGTCTCTGCTTTCTGCAAAGCAATGGCCAAAAAGAAAAACAAGTAAAAGAACCAAAAGCACAGAGGGAGTCAATCAATGGCAATGGCCGTCTCTGTTACAGAAGGAACAACCCAAATGACAACCAAAAATCACTGTAGAGGAAGAACGAAAGAACTTTACTTGTCCCATGCGACTCGTGAATGCCTCAGTCCTTCTCTTGGTGTACCCTGATGTTGGACTTACTGCTTCAGAGATTGCCAAGAGGATTCCTACATGAAATCCGAAGGTCCATGGAATGCTGGAGAGGATCCTAAGGCTGCTAATGAACCATAGTACTGGTGTTGTTTATTGCAGTTCTGCTTTCTTTCATGAGGCCCCAATGAAGTATCGCTTGGGTAGTTTGGGTAAATACTTTGTGCGTGGTGACAATGGGGTTTCTTTGGCGCCTTTGATGGCCTTGACTCGCGACAAAGCCTACTTGGGGGCCTGGTTTGCCTTTCGTTGATCGTTTTATCAATCTAGTGTTTGTTAAATTAAATTTATCAAATGAACTTCTTTATTTTAGTATTATTTTTTGTAGTAATGGCATATTAATTTGTGCAAGAATGAACTTAATTATTTTTTAAGTGTATGAGTGTTTTTTTATAACTAGTTTCTGTTTGTTGGGGATAGAGACTAAATGTAACTCGAATATGAGTGTTTTTTCTTCCTCTTTTTTTTTTTTTGAAACAAAGAATACGAGGGGTTACATCTCCATATAAATTTCATCATTGTAGTATGATCGTTGTGATTATCAAGTTGAGGAAGGTAAGAAATCACTACTGCTCCTCCCACTCGTGGTTAAATATGTTTCATGGCAGAATCTCTTTCCGCTGGCTGTTTCTCTTTTGCAATAGGAGCAGTTCTTGGTATTGAATTGTAGACCCACTGGCTAAACAGCTTCAGTTAATTTACTATTTTTCTTGTGAGCCCATGGTGTTCAAAATGACATTAAAGCCACTATTATGTTTTTGTTTGCGAATATTGTGATCTGATGTATATGCCTTCGATTCTATAGTTCTGTTTTATGTGATTCTGTTTCTGCTTCGCAAGGACGTAAAGTAAGCACAATGACCTTGACCCGTCTAGCTTTTCTGTGTGATGAGACCTTGTTACAACTAGAATACGGAGCTAACTCTTGTCAGCTTACAGGTCACATCTGAAGGATGCAATTCTTAAGGGAGGAATTCCATTTAACAGGCTCACGGGACACATTTGTTTGAGTGCTCTGCTAGAGATCCCAGGTTCAGTTAAGTTTACAATGCAGCAATGTTAGTCTTTGAGAAGATGCTTGAGTCCTACAGCGGTTTTGAGAACCTCAAGCAGGTGGTTGATGTTGGCGGTGGAATTGGAGTAGCGCTTAGCTTGAGCTTGATCACTTCCAAACACCCTTCTCTCAGTGGTACTAACTTTTGACTTGCCTCATGTGAGCCAGCATGCCCCTCCATTTCCTGGTATGATATCTCTTCCCATACAAAATTTTCTTTTTCGTTGCGATATTGCAAATTTATGTCTCCTATATCCAGGCATAAGTAACGAGATGAATTATTTCATGGGGTTACAAAATTCATATGATCAATGATTGATCCATGGTGCCCTGCATACCATGGTTATCTGTAAATTTGTTATTGTGCTTCTTCAACAGTTTCCTTCATTGCATTCTCTATGATTGCCGATGGAAAAAATTAAGCAACAAAAGCATGTTTTCATAGTAAAGTGAGCTGTTAGTCTCCTTTCCATTGTTGTTGTTTAATCATTATGTTTAAGTTTGCCAAATAACTGTATCAGTAACAGTCATTTGTGATGAAAATGGATTATAAATTGGTCTGAAATACTCTGTGCTCGTTGTCTTATTTGAGATGTTTGAGTTCGGGTTTTGGGACCTGTGATCCTTTAAAAGATGATGCATGATAGCATGCCAAGAAGCTAGTGCTATTTATCCTTTCAGTGCTTTTTATCTTCAATTGAATCAGTTCAACTGAGTACAGCAGTGTTATCAGTTATGACATACAATAGACGTTCTGTCAACTCAACTCATATATGGTCTATGAATTTTTGAAGCTAAATTGAATAGCAGGAGCCAAGGTGGCCCTGTTGTGAAATGTTAACAAAGTAGCAACTGAAGAGAACATACCTGTGCAGGTGTAAAACATGTGGAGGGAGACATGTTCAAAAGTGTTCCAAAGAAAGATGCTATTATTCTGAAGGTGAGTTAAAATTTTGCTGACAGTTTTCCCTAATTGACAAGCCACGTCCAATTAAGGTAGTTATGTTTTCCTGTTGCCATGGATAATGACAATTCTTCTTAACTTTCCATTCAATTGAGGTTGCTCTGGTATTATTATGAAAAACACCCGATGCATAATTATTATGCTTTTAACTAAAGTGAAAATGAGCCGCGTATATATTATTTTTAAGTCGTCATCTGTCTCTGGAATTTGGTTCATGCTCTCTGCTTTGGCTTGTTCTCAATCGATAATGCTTTTGATGAAATCTAATGAGATTATGGATGTATTGCAGTGGATACTTCATGACTGGGATGATGAACACTGCTTGAAATTTTTAAAGAACTGCGATATGGCTGTCCCAGTTGATAGGAAGATAATTCGTCGTGGAGCAAATTCTCAGAACTTTTGTCAGACATTACTACTGTTTCCAAAGACAAATCGCAACTTGATATGGTTTCACTGACTCAAACTCCAGGAGGAAAGGAGAGGATACAAAATCACCTTTTCAACCTGGCATTTAATGCTGGATTTAAAGTAGATGATATCCTTGCCTTTTGAGGATTGCAGTTATCCCAATTTAAAAGCTGTAACTCATATGAGCCCGTGTTAGATGAGAAATGAAGCTGTTTAAAGCAAGTTACCTAGCAGAACTGGAAAAGGGTGTTTAATAGAACGGTCATGGTAAATTTGGGTGAATTTATTTGAACGTGGTACAAAAAACTTGATAGCGTATGGATGTTGCGAAAATACAAACTATCAAGGGAAGATGCTATTTCACAGAATCGTTCTAGCTTCTCTTTAACAGCATCACAGATTCCAAAGGTAGATGCTCTGGTTTGCAACATACTTAATATTACGATGGGAATCTTTGATGTACGGGAATTTCTTGGGCACCTAGCTTTTGTCATTGCTTTTGCGTAGGGTGAATATCTAATTCTTGTTTGGTCTTTGTGATTAACCAGAAGTTGATGGGTTTTTTTTTAAGCAAATTCTGGTTTTTAACAGATTCTTGAAAAGACAAAAAAGTGGGGGCAACTGAGGCGAGCAAATTTTGTGAGCAGAGTGGTATCAAAAGGTTCAACCGAGTGGTTGATGATATAATAACCCTTTCTTGCCTGCATTTAGCGCCTCAGATTTATTAAAACCATGATCTCCTGAACTTCTTAGTGACCAAGCCGTGGGCAGTTTAGCTGTGAATGGTGAACGATCTCTTGTTATACTTGTGCCATTCATTTTTGTTACGTGTAAGTGGGATTTTTTTAAGACTATAATAATCAAATCTTTATTTGTGTGATGACCATGTAGTGTTTTCAGTAAAAGGGGAGGCATATCAGGTCCTTGCAAGCTGTGTTCTAAATTTTTGTATGTCATGACTCGAGCAGTTTAACATCAATTGACTCCCCCTCTTCCTGGCCCAGATTGATAGCAGAGCTTTGCAGACAGAAGAAACTCATCGACCCTTTAATATCCAAAAATCCTCAATTATTCGGGGAATCAGTATCAAATGTTTCATTTTTCATGCTTGTAAATGTTTGCCAAATGCTTTTAGTCGGATTCATTTATAATTTAGAGACTACAAAATTTGAATGTGGACTCTTCATGCATTGTATAGCCCAAAAACACAAAAATCGAATTGCTTTGCGTTGGAGAGGCAGCAAGTACCACACAAAGGGAGATAACAAAGCATAGGTGCAAAGTACTTTTCTGAATTAAGTAGCTCCAGACCTTCCATAGAGAAGGTGATGGTGGCATAAATAGTTCTAATTAAGGGCGAGGAAACAAAATATTTAATTACATGTATCTTCAAGATGAAGGCACATTACATGGATTTACTCTGGTTAGAAACTTATGTAAACAAAATGAAGCAAGGCAACATGTTCATGCACAATGCTGAGTGATTTTTTTTTTTTTTTTTTTCTGAAAACTGAAAGTTCACCTTATTGCAGCAGTATTTCAATTGGCTTCCTTTAGTTGCTACCGATTACTTCCTTATATGTGTCTTTTATTTTCCCGATCAGAGCTTCCCTGCAATTTTCCCATGTGCATTAACATAAAATTAGCGGGACAAACAGGATGCATTTTTGCACCAATTTCTATATGGTTGTGTAGCAGTATATATACGATCTTACCTGTCAGGTTTGAAAACCAGGTTCTTGTATGCAAACCACTGAAAGGAGAAGCAATGCATAGGACAAAAAAAAAAAAAAAAAAACTACTATTATTAGCCGCACTATATAAAGAACAAATTTAAAATTTTCATGTCACAGACAGACATAAAATAAAATAAGTTCACGATTATTAAGATAATGGGCTGATTATTCATACAGGTTCTTATAGCGACAATATTCCATCAACATTATAGGCATTTGTTGGATGTTGATGATATCAAAACCGTCAAATTTAACAAGTAAAATAAAATGTACTGACTATAGTTGATGCTTTTATATAAATCGAAACAGCAATATTGAGTAAATTGTACTTACTCCAGTGTAGCCAATTCCAACAAGCTCAAGAACGCCAGGAATCAAAGGAAGCCTGTCAATTGCCTGGTACAGAAACATTTTAATCTCTTAAATTTTATTTAACAGGGAAAAATCGATGGCAAACACAAGTAAGGGGACTACAGAAAATAAATGTGCATTTTGGAGAAGCAACTCACCGAGATCAACCCAGCCGAGCCCCAAAGTGCAATGGCACCAGCTACCACAAGAGAACTCACTGCATACTTGTCGTCAACTTTATCCCACTGTCCACCAACAACAAATTCAAACAAAAAATTGTCCCAATTCCATTAAACCACGTTTCATGAAAGGAAAAATTCTTACAGCTTCTTGAACTGTCTTGGCAATCTCTGGAAGCTCAGTTGAAGCAACCTCTGCTGGAGCCTCTCCTGTAGCCATAGTCATAACATTGCGAGCTATCTTTCGACCTGAAATAAAAAATAAGCACATTTGTATATCTTATATGTAATACTACGTGTCTCTATGTGTGTGTATTATTTTGAAACTCACAATAAGCAGTGGCTTTCCAGGGGCGGTTTTGATGCTGGACAGGAGGGAGGAGCGTAGGGAGGCTCACACACTGTGGTGATGCAACAGCTGATTGGCGAGAAGCCTTGGCATCAATAAGGCTTGATGAGGAGATTGATATGGGTGTGGAGGAAGTTGAAGCCATGACTGTAACAAATCCCCAGAGGTCACTGTACTGTTTGTGCTGTGAGAGATTCTAAAGATCGTCACTTCTAGGGAAAGCAAATGCAGAAATGTTACAATATGGTCAACTTAATTTATTTGTTAATGTTTTCTTTCTGGGTTTGGTTGATGTGTTTGATAATTGCTTGATTGGAATGTGGAGACGGATCTTCTTCCAAGTTTGAAGCGAGAGCACCACACATTCTTTTCATCTAGATAGAATGCTGACATGGCAGTTGGATAGCCAATCTATGGTGTTTTATTGGATAGGTTACTCCAGATTGGAGCTCTGTTATCTTCTCTATTTCTTTCTCCTTTCCATAGGCAGGCCAAAAATATCTTTTTCCTGTCAGTCGGTAAACAATTTGTATTATGTTACATCCCTGGCTCATGACACGTAGGCATAGGTAGGAAGTTTTGTTATCCAAATATTTTTTTTAAGGTAAAATATGCTATGAATCTTGAAATATGGATCAAATGGTAAACCAATTTATTCAGTGCACATAGTCTTTTAAAAAAATAATAAAGGTAAAAATTAATCCTTTTGCTAAGTTAGTTTATGTTTTGGTTAAAATTGGACTTAGCATTTATTAAAGATAATAATGGATTTATGTAGATGAGGTTTGGATATTCATACACTATCTATTATTATCGAAATAATCATATATCATTTACCAAGTTTCAAATATCCGTTATCCGATTGTTTATTATATATATATGATCGAGCTAAATAGTATTCATATATTATTCATCATTCAATAAATAAAAATTTTAAATATTCATAACAGATCCAAAACAATAACTATTCATAAAAAAAATCTTATTTGTTCGAGTCAGTTCAAATAGTATCTATCAAGTTTTAGTTAGATTATACCCTCATATTTATCATGTGATTAGCAAGTGATATGAAAATTCACACGAGGATCCCATGTATATAGTTCATTTAGTGTTGCATGCTAATCACATGATAAACAACAAGCCTAATTTTAATAGAGACCTAGCCTAACTCAGTAGAATCATTAATTTGTTATGTTATTTTTTCTTAAGGACCATCTATGCTAAATAAATTAGATAGAGACTATTTATATTTTGATCCGTAATTCAAAAATGTGTAACACACTCCCTCCCCCCCCCCCCCCCTTTCTTTTTTTATCTATCTAAAACTAAGTCATCACATGACCAATCATTGCCACTTTCACTAATATAGTAAGATTTTCAACAATAAATAAGTGATAATGGAGAATATTATTCTCCTTCGTTGTCCTAATAATTATGTATCCAGTAATTTTATTTAGTGAAAAAAATTTGAATCGTATTGTCTCTAATTTTTCTTTGTAAATGCAATGAGCCTTGACTTACTGTAGCATGATGCAGCCTATGACCTCCCAAATAAGAAAATCCATTTAACTATAGCCGTTTTCTTATTCCGTTGAAATCAAGAAGCCCACTGAGGAACAGGCCAACAGCAGACAAGAGCCCTCTTCAAAAAGGATAAAATAACCTAAAATAAAACCACTCATCGTTGACGGATTGGAATTTTCACATCCAAATGCAAGATCTGGGCTTGACAATCCTCACCTTTTCTGTGGGCCAGAACTTTGTTATTCTAGACTTGCACGATAGAATTAGGATAATTACCCACAAAACTCTCAAAAAAATCTTCTATCTAAAAAATCTATTAATTTATTTTTAAATCTTTTAAATTTAAAATAATATTTTTCTTCTCAAAACACTCAATAATTAATCTTACTATTGGGTGTTTTTGCTAACATATATATATATATATATATATATAAGTTTTGAGAGATTTAAAAAATAAATTGATGGATTTTTAGAAGTTTTTTTATAGAAATTATCTAATAATAAACTCATTTCATAAGCTTTAATAATTTTGAAATTGATTTTTTTTTTATCATGACAATTCAGATTCTTTTATATTGCAATCAAAAGAAAAAAAGTATTTTATTTTTTTTATCGACTGTTTATTTTATCAACTACGTGGTTACCTTTACTATCTAGTAGCTATAGCTATTAATGCAATTCAACTAATTAATGAAATGAGAATCTTGGTATCTTCGTTTAATTTGATCTAAAGCTTATCATATAAATAAGAAAAGGAAGAGTATGTATGATTATAATCATTTGTAATATCCTAAATTCTAATATATTGATAGAATAAAAAAAAGATCATTAATAATAGTTTTTAATTAATCAAAACTCAATATTTTTTTACCAAATAATTAAATTAAATTACAAGATGAATGTATAATATTTTTTGATATATTAATTAAATGCAACATGACCATCCACAATAAAAACATATATCTTGAAAGATAATGATTTTACTTAACCTAGGATAATTATCATAAAACCCTCTAGAAAAATCTTTTACCTAAAAAATCTATAAATTTATTTTTAAATCTTTTAAATTTAAAATAATATTTTAACTATTATGTGTTTTGGTAAGAAAAATATTATTTTAGATTTGAGAGATTTAAAAATAAATTGAAAGGTTTTTCAGGTAGAAGATTTTTTTAAAGGGTTTGTATGATAGTTATCCAATAAAATTATACCAAACAATTGGTTATTAATTTCTGAAGAAGAAAATCCAAAGATGTCATTCTCTGGCCCTGTTACTCGCAGCCGCATCCATCGTTATCATCATTCAGACCCCCTTGGGTGGCATTTGCTGATAGTGGGAGGCAGGCTTTACCTGGCCTATTTGGGCCTGAATACATTAATGAATGAGCTCGACATTTGCCCTTTTTTTTTTCTTTTTTTTCCTGGTTTAATGAATTAAATATTCATTATTGAATTGTCATCCATGAATTGTTTTTGCTAACATGAAGCTACTCAATATAAACATCAAAAGGCAGAATTTGGGCTCAAATATTGCGCACGCATCTTACCTGTCATTACCGTCTTTGTGGTTAATACTTTCACTGGACCAGATTTTCATTAAACTATAATAAATTTAGCTTCGATTATTAAATAAAATAGATTAAATTTTATGAATTTGAATCGAAATTTAAAAATATCATTTCAGATCTTAATTGATTCAGATTTATTGGATTTATTGTTTATTTTTTTATAAAAAATTTATTCTTATTACATTTAATATATTATTTCAATATAAAATTTATTTCAATCACTACATATAAAAACATATTTTTTTGTTTATTAAAGTATTTTCAAATCTTTCAAAATAATTTCCATGTCATGGAACAACAATAATTAAGAAACTATTAAAACTTCTCTCTTTACATTATAATTCACTAACCTGAATCTTAGAAAGAGAAAATTTTTAGTGTTATAATATTTAAATCTCAAATCAAAATCATTAAAAACTCTAAAGGCTATATAAATTTTAATAAAATAAATATTTTTTTCAAACACACCGACGACTACACCTGCAATCATGCAATCATCGTTACATTCATCATTTTTAATTTTTAAGATGACAGTATAGAAAATAGTTGCGATAGCAATAAAAATATATTAATATCAATAATTAATTTTCATAAAATTGATGCAACATCTATAAAAAATGGCAATGGAAAAAAAATAATGATTATGATAATATAATAAAAATGATGATATAATGATAAAAAAATGATGATAAAATAATAATAATAATAATAATAAAATTATTTATTATTAATAATATTTGGCTGATAGCGTTGTTGCAAGTGCTCGATGTGGTAAAAATAATTGATACATTAATAAAAAAAATGTATCACTATTTTGAAAAAAAAATGATTTTCATTCTTTATTTTTATTCCCATCTCTCCTAAAAAAATAACTATGTTTAATTTTCATCTTTATTATTATTCTATTCTTTTTCTACCAAACACCTATAAAATAAAAACAAAATTTTTATTATTATTCTTATCATTTTTATTTTTTATTACCAAATAAAACATACTAAAAATATTATAAATAATTAAAGATGACAAATCAAATGTTCGACTGCATATGAGTTGAGACTATATCGGGTTATTTTTCAGCGAGACTTTGCCTTCCACTACATTAACTACTAAGAAAATTAATATAAAATCTTTTTTAAACTTATCAATAATTGAATGGTACTCCTTTGTGGCATTTTTCACAGGACCAAGTGAAATTGGAAAATCACGTTATATTAGTTGTTTCTTCTAAAAACATCTCTCATAATTATCGTTTAATTTTGAGAGTCGCGAAAAAGCTACTTATGATTTCCTAAATAATTGATCCACCATAAATCTATCCCTAAATTGAAAGAATACTTAAATACAAAACAATCTCAGAAAAATTTACCTATGTTTGAGGGGAAAAAAAAGTTTAAGAAAAACCAAAATATATTGGGGTCAACAATGCAATCTGAGTCTCATAAGTGTTTAATTTTGTGTCCACAGAGAATCCAGAACACACATTAACTTACGATATTTATGATTAAGAATCCGTTACCATTACTGCTTATGGGTCTTATAGTTTTATTATTTCGTAACTTTTGAGGTAACCATTATAATCGTGGACTGATTGAAGTGCAAAAGCAAATATGAAATAAACATTCTAAATAGACCCTGTCCGCACTCTTCTTCTTCTTCTTCTTCTTATTATTATTATTGTTATGAGAAAGCCATGGCTTAGGACAGTAACACGCCGAAAGCTAACATAAGCTAAAAAGGCCTTTCCAAGATTATCAAAAGAATAAAAAACGTATTTCATGCAACCGTGCAAAAAGCATGCACCTAGCTAGCTAGCTAGCTACAACAGCATCAGCAAAAAGGGTGAGTGCGGCTTGACCTGCCACACGCGCGCTAAGCGTGGTTGACTAGACAAACACCCATAATCAGAACCCTTTGACACTTTTTCCTTCTTTTCATTGACTTGGATTTTAGAGAAAAAGAAAGAATCCAAAAGAAAATCATGCATTCCGCTGCACTGCACTAGGAGTTGGTAGCAACTAACCAAAAAACAGAAAATCATGCAGTGCTGCAGGTGATGATATATCATTTTTATTTCTTTGGAGTCGTTGGTCAAAATAATCAGAAAACATATTTTTGATTGATTTCCATTCTTCGCAGGACGGGTGGATGATGGGGGCTTAGTAGAAAAAGACACTTCAAGTTTCTACTTGGGCCAGCAATCCCTTTTTTTTTTTTTTTTTTTTTGGGCTAGTATTTATTCCTTTTACAGTTTTCCTAACATGGAGTCTATAGATGGGGAACTTGCCTCACTCTGTTAGGACTTAGGATATGGCATGCTCAAGCTAAGATGGGGAATCTCTGGTGATGTCCTAGAAATCTGCAGATAAATAAAAGATGGAGATGTCAGCCTTAAGGTTAACCTTCTTCATACTCAACCGAGAAAGGAGACCATTTTTTTGGGTGTTAATTAGGATAAGTTGTGTACTTTAGCATTTGGTCATAGTGCTAGTAGAGAGGCCAAAATATACCAGTCAGACTTGAGACGGGTTGTCTTTGGAACTTGTAGCGTAAGAGACTGGTGCTAGCTAGCTAGCAACAATTTGTACGTGGATTTCCATCCCTCTCTTTGGAATTTGAAGATTGATTTGAAGGATTAGTTTTTTTCTTCTTTCTATTCCTCTCCTAGCTTGCACGGATTTTTTTACCTATACCCTTAAAGTCATAAACCCATAATTACCAAGGAAAGGAAAGAAATAAAGCTCTCACATTAAATAAAAATAAAAATAACGTTGGTTAAAAAACGGATAACACCCTCGCATAAAAAGAAACAATATATTTTTTTGGTTCGTTTGATGTCTAATATCGCAGCTTGTCCATCAAATCAAATCTTTATCGACAGAAAGTATAAACAAAAACCGGACTAAAACACACACACACACAGAGATTAAATGATTTAATAACAAATTTTTATCTTATTTTATCTATTTATCAATTATGAATTTATAATATCAAATTACATAATTTAAATTTTAATATATTAAAAATTCATTCACGAATATCTATTCTAATTAAATTAAAATTGTGAATATAAAATAATAATAAATATATAAAAATTTTAAATTTTAAAAACTTCCACTTGATACAATATGTTGAAAATTGATATAAAAATCATTTTAAGAACTGCGCTTAATAATTTACACTTTTTGCTTGAGATAATCAGCATTTGATAATTATTATTGCATACTCTCTCTCTCTATATATATATATATAACATTGGTTAAATTAAAAAAAAAGGAAAAAAAAGAAAATTGCATTTTCATAGCCGCATGATCAATCTAATCAAAATTCAATGTTGCCAAAATTCTCTAAGAAAAATATCTATTCGTGTATCCAATTTTCCATTTTTTTCCCTCTACTTTCTAACTACGTACCCTCAGTGGCCACAATGAATAGGAGTGACAAAGCCAGATCATAGCAAACCTCCATGCCTATAATAATAATAATAATAACAATAATAACAAAAAGTTTAAGAATTCTTATATAATAATTACATATGCAAGGTATAATTAAAATAAGGTATGAACGGAAAAGAAAATTAATCTTAGCATACATATATAAAATCCTAAAAAATATTTTCCAATTTACTTTCTATAACACAACCAAACATTGAAAAAAAAAAACATTACTGCAAGAATCCGCTGTGCAAAAGGAACACGTTTCAACAAACAAATGGGCCTAAATGCTAAACAAATTTCAAAAGTACTCCTAGTATTTTTGTTCAACGTGTCTTTGAATTATCTAAGTATAAAACTAAGATTCCAGAATGAAGTTTGAAACAAATAATCAAAACAGTTTCTACTGTAAACTGGATGTTAGATTCAAAATTCCTATATCAATTTGTTTTTAAAACCAAATCATTTGCTGAGTAGATATTGCGAAATTCAATCAACCAGTCTAGGCCATGACTACATATCTAATTAAGAAGTATGTGCCGGTCATGGTCCTGAAAGTTTTGACCGAATGTCAAAACATCAGGTCTACCTAAAGACACATGTTGCCTTTAATTTTCAACCAATGTACTACAGAATGACTCTTTTGAATTTGAATGGGTGCTAAGACGACAACGAGTTGGCAAATGGCAGAGGACCATGAATATCGAATGCATACATCAGCCATAGGGGACATAAGACATTACCAAGTTACTAGGCACAGGAAAGTCGAGGAAGATGCCATAGAGAAGAATCAAAAAGAAAACAATGAAAAAGTTGATTTTCTACCAGGGAAAAGAAGAAGAAGAAGAAGAAGTTATTTCTAGGAAAATGACTGCTTTTTTAAACAAACAAAAGCTTCCTTGTCTTTTCTCTTTATCTTTTCCTCATTGAAGTTTTCACAGCTGACAGCGATTTCTTCGGTAATCCGCCGCTTTGAAACTTTCAACTTCCCATATACAGCAATTAGAAACCTTTCCATTAGATAATAGACAGTACTATTTCTACTCAATAATAATAATACATGCTAATTAATAATATGCTCGAAGAAGAAACAATAAGATAACGATAATGATAATATGGAAATGCGAGATTAATATAATTTATTGCCAATGATAATATGAAAACGAGATTTATTTTTTAATACGCTGGCTCGGCTTTCCAAATAAAACAGTCTCCTATTCCAATATCTTAGACCAATGTTCCTTTTGGTTCCATTGTTATCAAGGTGGAAGTTGCCCAAGGTTACTGACTGGCTTCACTTTAATAAAATATATAAATCGGGATAAGCAATTTACTATTTACTAATCATGTCTAGTAATCCGTCCTTGAAGAATCTCAAGCATACAAACGGCCTATACGCTCTGCAAATTACATAAATAACCTTACAGGTCTTTTAGAAATTCTCAATCAAGAATTTTCATTCATTTTTAAGATTTTTCTTTTATAGTTTCATCCAACTTATATATTTTTTTTATTGTAGAAAAAACAACATCGTTTTGTAGAGAAATTTACATTTTTTTAAATGATTGCAAAATAAGTCTTTAATTCAGAAATTCAAATAGTTTAATGATAAAATTGAGACAAAAAAGTAATTTGAATGCAAAGTTGATAATATCCAAATAATTATTCAAACTAATATTTTTTGCAACATTTTATTTAACTAGTAAAGTTGGTGACAAACGGTAATATTATCGATATTTGTTGGTAAAATGTACTACAGGTTTTCTTTAAAAAAATAAAAAATAAAAAATAAAAAAGGTTCGTTAAATTACATGATTCGAGATGGAGACTGATCATGGAGGAGGAGGAGGAGAGGGAAAAAAAAGGAGCTAAAAAGCTGTTAAAAGAAGACACTCGAAATACCAAAATGACTAGGACTAGGCTAGAGAAAGGAGAGTGATATGTCTGTGACCAGGCGTTGGTGATGCTTTTGCACATGGGGATGTGTTCTATTATAGCTGCTGTGCAGTTTGCATCTCTCTGTCTGACCCATATGACAATTTTCAGAGACTTGGAACATGGGATTCTCCTTTCCTCACCCTTTGACTTTGCTCCATTTCCCTCCATCAAAACCCTTTGCCCTTCGTTCGCAATCCTTCTACCACGTCAACATTATCTGCTTAGCAGTAGAGATAAATTCACTGTCACAAAATGGGGTGATTCAAGTATGTCCTTGGCTTTGATGTGAAGATGAAAGAATCCACAAGGTTGAGGTTAAGCATAAGCTAATAGGACTAGGATACTCTTTGTACGAAAGCTACAATTAACATTGTTTTCCATGTCGTTGAGACCCGGCATCAATCAGGCATTTTCCAAGTAAACCAACCCCATGCTCTCCATCTTGTCGTCCTCTAGCTATGAAAATGCCTTCAAAGCCTTAACTCAAAAATTCATGAAGCAAGGACACATCATGTTTTAACCATTTCAGCCTCCTTTCTTGCAATCTCAATTAAATAATTTACTGGGTTGATTGAGCGTGCTTTCTTTGCAAAGAATGTGTTAGCCTTGGGGTCCCCGTATCTTTCATGTTGTTCCAAGTTTCATTTCCAAATATGGTATAAAAGGTAAGTTAAAAGGGAATCGAAGCAATCATAATATGGACCAGGCACTGATACGTCTCATGTCCGGACAGGATGCCTAGCCTACTAGTAACTAGTCAAAGAAAACAGAAGTAAGAAGGCTATTAGCCTGTAATAGTATTACACGTTTGTGTGGTTGGGTTCTACAGGAATTTTTCTTTCTTCTTCTTCTTTTTCCTTTTTTTTTTTTTTTTAATGAAAATTTCGAGACATATAACATATTATTACAGTTTCCTATCTTCAATGCTTTTGCACCATCGAATTTTAAGACTCATATATGTGGGTTCTTCAAGATATAATGGAATGCTTTTGAGAATCCCATTCAAAGACTCTTATTTATGGCAGAAAACAAAGAAAGACAAATTCTATCGTATCCTTTACTTGCCCCTTTCCGGTTCAGGTAATAAAAGGTTACATATTCTAGTATCAAATGATAGATCATGTTAGTTAGCTTGATTTACACCTCTGATTTAAAAATGAATGATTCTGATTTTGTTCAATTTTAATAATACTCTAAATTTGGTTCTTTTAAAAAGTAAAAAGGGCAAGAAAGCTTGAACTCCATAAAAAAACAAAATTACATCAGTCATTTTCTGTAGGTGTAAATACTAATGCTATCATGTCTCAAGACATTACGAACCTTTCTAGATAGGTCTTCATACCTATTAAAAGAACAAAATTATTTGTGATTGTGAGCTAAACTAGTTGACAATTAGCTACATTATTTTGCTAACAAAGAACATCCCGACAATTATAAAAGACATTAATCTTTTAACACTAGCAAAAGTGATGCATGTATTTCTAAGGACCCATAATTTTTTTTTCCAGAGCATTCATCTGTGTTAAGTTAAGTTTCACTACCACCAAAGAATCTAATTCCACACACACTCATTATATGAATAGTTGCTCGAACTTCGATCTATCTCTCAATGCACATATTTGCACTCTCTTACTAGTTCTTGCACCATAATAATTAGGAAAGGCCGCAAAGAATTGATCATGCCTCACTCTAATCAACCCACCTCCACAACAAATTCCTTCCATCAAGGACCCATCCGTATTATCTCGACATAAGAATTCCTTTTCAGCTAGACCCCTTGCTTTAATGAAATTGAGGTAATAGGAATGCCTAAATTGCTAAGCCACCTGAATCTCACTAGCTTTAGGCTTCCTTTTTGGAGAATAGATGGAGAACATTTCAATCGAGCAAAGACTTGACCTACCTTATAATGTAATCTATCGACATCTCTCCTGCCTCAAACCTAGACTAACATCTATGCTTTTAAAAATCTCATAATATATATATAAATAAAGCCATTTGGATTAACTTAGTTCTAATTTGACAATTTGTTCAAATAGCATGCGAAGTTATTTTCACAATTAATATTGATTATAAGAAAAACCTCACACAAAATATCTTCTCTCAATAGATTAATTCTATTTCTCTTTTTTTAGCTGCTACTAGTATATAGCTACTTGCTCTCTTGCTTTCTTTTTTCTCTCTAATTCTCTCTAATTTTTTATATATGCATTATAATCATAAGGGTCATATTTATAGGTAAACTTAACCTCCTCATTTGGAACATCTAAAATTAAGTAAAAGCCATAAAATTTGACTACCTCTTTTAGTCACCTCCTTTGACAACCTCCATTGATCACTTCCTTTGACCACCTCAATTCATCACCTCCTTTCGAGTATTACTTAGTCTAATACTTGATGACTAAGAATTTTTAATGGTTAAGAATTCTTAATATCTTGAGAAAATTCTAAAAAAGGGTTTGAATTTAACACTCCTCCTTAAACTCAACTTCGCATGCCCAACTTTCCTTTGAGTTTGTGGAATACGTCGATCTTCAAAGGTTTCATAAAAATTTCTTCAAGTTGATCTTCTATTATGTAATGAACTAGCTCCATAATTTTGTTTTTCATTTGCTTTCAAATAAAATAATATTTCGTGTCTATATATTTGCTTCGACTATGTGAGACTAGATTTTTTACAAGTGACATAGTAGATTTATTATAGATACATATTATAGTTGAACCTTCTTATGCATGATATAACTCGCTCAAAGTATTCTTCAACTATATTGCTTGACATGCACATATTGCTACGGCTATATATTTTGTTTCACATGTCAAGCATATCTAGAAGTGTTTTTCGATCATCCAAGTCTCCACCATAATCACTATCTAAGTAACCAATTAACTTTGAACATTAAGAATATTTATAAAATAAACCATGATCTATTGTATCTTTGATATATCTCAAAATTCTTTTTGTTGTAATAAAATGTTCTTACTTTGGCTTCTCCATATATCTACGGACTAGTCCAACTCGCATACATAATTTCTAGATGTGTGAAAGTCAAGTACCTCAAACTTTTGACCAAACTCTTAAACATTGTCGAGTTTACGGACTCTCGATTCGAATCCATTCTCAACTTCATGCTTGCTTTTCTGCTCGTAACTAATGGTTTGCAATCTTTCATTCTAAACTTGTTCAAGATTTATTTTGCATACCTTTTTTATGACATAAATATTCCATCTTTCATTTGTTTTACCTCGATTCTAAGAAAATATGACATTTCACGAATATCTATCATTTTAAATTCTTTTTTCATATCTTTCTTAAAATTATTGAACATACATGGATTATTTTCTATGAAGATTATATCATCCACGTATAAGCACACATTCATGATATCACCATCTTAATTTTTCTTCATGTATAAGGCATGCTCATTTGGACTTTTTGTTAAACCATTCTTCTAGAAGTAATAATCTATTCTTGCGTTCCAAACCCACATAGTTTACTTTAATCCATACAAGGCTTTCTTCAATTAGTAGAATTTATCTTCCTATCTTTTTTTAATATATCTTGATGGTTGCTCGATGTAAACTTTTTCTTCAGGTATCCATACAAGAATGTCGATTTACATCCATCTAATAAATCTTCCATTTATTTTATATTATGACCACCGTGAGAAGTCTAATAGTATCAATTCTTACAATTGGAGCAAACACATCCTTATAGTCAATTCCTTGTATCTGTTTATAGCCTTCGGTAACTAATCTTGCCTTGTATTTTTTTCATTTTTCATTTTTGATTAGTCTTTGTCTTGTACATCCATTTGACTCCTATTGTCTTGTGTCCTTTTGGAAGACTAGTTAATTCTCATGTGTCATTTCTTTTTATTGTAGTAATTTCTTAATTCATGGCCTTCTCTCACTTTTCATCTTTAGTAGCCTCCTCGTATGTTAATGGATCATAATTTATCATTAAATAAAATAATGAGTAATCGAATGTTTTTTGCATAGGTTACGTGGAATCATAAATATAATTTAGATTTCATATTTTTTTAGGTGCTCCCCTTGAATTATTGCTACTTGCATGATGATGTTGATGGTGTCGATTCGGGAGTTGTTGGAGTAGGACTTTATGGAGGAGTCTAATCATCACCTTGTTCATTTTGTATGTTGAAGTCATCATCATTGTCATCATTACAAAAATAATCCTTTAACTTCTTTATCTTTTCTCGCTCCATCTCTAGTAATTTGATTCATCGAATTCAACATCTTGTGAGATGATTACCTTCTTAATCAAAGGATTGTATAATTTATATGTCTTACTTTTTTTCTCATAGCCAATAAAGATACACTTCTCACCTTTATCACCTAACTTCTTTCTTTTCGATCGGGAACATGGGCATATGCAATGTACCAAAAAATCATTAGATGTCCATGCTTCATTTGGTTTTTTGAATTTTAGATTTTTTGTTAGATATTGATTTAGTAAATAAATAGCACATAGAATGGCTTCGACCAAAAGATTCTTGGTAAGTGCTTTCCTTTCACCATGCTCCTTGCCATATCAAGAATTATACGATTCTTTCTTTACGTAATGTTATTTTTTTGTAGCTTATATGAGGTTGTCAATTGATCAATGATTCCATTTTATTTGGAAAAACCTTTAAACAACTTTGAAGTGTACTCTCCTCCTCTATCGATTTAAGTATCTTCACATATTACCCACTTTGTATTTTCTCGCTATTGCTTTGAACTCAACTTTATCAAAGGCTTCTAATGTTTCTGTTGAAATCACTAATAAAAGTAAGATAATACCTGTTTTTGCCAAGTGATGGTATATCAAATGGATAAACTATATCCGAGTGAACAATCTTTAAAGACCTTCAGCTCTTTATGATTTGCCAACTTCAAAATTTTATCCATATTGTTTTCCTTTAATGCGGGCTTCACACAATTGATCCTGTTGATTAATTTACGAAAGTACATTCATTATCTTTGCTCTCGATAATAACTTCGAGTCGGTAAATCCAAAATGATCAAACCTTGAATGCCATAACCATGATTCATTTTTAATGACAAACTTCATACACTTTAGCACTGCTCGTATGAATATCAAGTGTGAAAATATGATTTTTTTTTCATATCAATTTTAGCAATTAATTCCCCTTTTACGTTGATGACAAAAGAGCGATCCTTCGGTATATACCATACTCCTTTTCTAAGAGTCGGCCAAGGTCGATGATATTGTTTTTCAAAGCAGGTACATAATAGACATCATGTATATACTTCTTATAGTCATTCTTTGAGGTAATCATAAGTGTACCTTTGCCTTTTACTAGAACCTTTGACGAGTCATCAAAAGTAACTTCTCTGTGGATAGTCTCATCCAAATCTGTAAACAACTCTTTTCGGCTACACACGTGCTTGCTAGCACTAGTTTCAAGGTACCAAAGATTTTTCTTACACTTTTTATTTCCTCTCTAAGTTAGGAAAATAGTAGATTCAACTTTGTCTTCTATCGTTACAAAATGATTTGTTTCCTCCATCTTAGGAGCTGAACCGCATTCATAACTAAAATAGCCATACTTGTTACAATTATAACATTGCAATTGTGATTTATCACCTTCTTGTTGAAATTTTCCTTTTCCTCGATTTCTAGATCCTCGACTATGACCATATATTTAATAGCCTTCATTTGTTTGACCTCTTTTAAAAGATTTTTTTCCACTTCTTTGTTCATTATGTCTTCCTCTCGTAGCTACCTCGATCTCCTCTACGTCGTCCGTAGCTACCGTTAGCTTGATTGTGATGCAAAGCTTGCTTCGGATTACCGAATTTTTATTTTGCTTAATTTTTTACTCGTGAGCTTAAAAAGAACCCACAAGCTTGTCAATAAAAATTTATGGCAAATTGTTTGATTCTTCAATAATAGTTATGACATAATGTCATTTCCTTATCGATGAACGTAGGAGTTTTTCCATCACTTTGACATCATCAAGAGTTTCTTTATTTTTCATATCGTTCTTCATCGTTTTCGGACGAGTGACATAATCATTGATCTTTTCAAAATTCTGCATTTTTAATGTCTAAAATTCAACTTTAAGTGATTGAAGTCGTACCTTTTTAGCTTTTTTCGACTCCTTGAAGAGATTTGCGGAACTCGTCATGCCTCCTTTGATGTCTTCACATCAAATATTTTTTTGTGCTTTTTTTGAGATTCTTTAAGGGTTGTCTTCGCGCGTTTATCAAAGATGCTTCGATAGTACCATCTTCGGGCTTAGTATAGCTTTCTTCAACAATCTCCCTTAAATTTGTGAACTGGGCATAACTTTCATCTGGATACTCTAGTTTTCATAATTCATCTTTTGTTGATTTCGGGATTTGAAGCTGAATCATATGGGCCATCTTCTCACTTGAAATGTAGATACGAACCTGGTTTTGATACCACTTGTTGGAAGCATAATAGGCTCACAAAATAAAACTCAAACAATAATATATTAATATATATTAATTACAAGAAAAAGCTCACACAATATATCTTCTCTCAATAGATTGATTCTATTTCTCTCTTCCTAGTCGTTGCTAGTATATAGCTATCGCTTTCTTGCTCTCTAATTCTCTCTAATTTTTCATATATGCATTACAATCATAAGGTTCATATTTATAGGCAAACTTAATCTCCTCATTTGAAACATCTAGAATTAATTAGAAGCCATAAAATTTGACTACCTCGTTTGATCACCTCATTTGACCACCTCCTTTGAATATTACTTGATTAATACTTAATAAATAATAATTCTTAATGATTAAAAATTCTTGATGGCTTGAGAAAATTCTAGAAAATGGTTTGAATTTTAACAGAAAGCCTCGATTCTGCCAAGAATCCACGACGTTCACGCCCATCTATGCCAATCCACTAAAGAGAGCTTTTCTTGTCGATGATTTCAGAAATTCTTACATACGAAAGACCTTGGTGAATTCAAAGTGCAGACCAAGAGGTCATTCTCATCCCTATCTATTTGAATCCCTTCAATAGGCCAAATCTCTTCAGGAATAAGGGACTTAATATCTACTATATTATGCATGGCCTCTTTGATTGTGAGCTTCATGTCTAAAGGTAGTGGAGGCCGCAGCAATGAAGCAAACCAATTTACAGTCCAAAACGGGATATCTCATTTGCCAACTATTCAAGTGCTTACATCCAGAATAGGAACAACCAATTTTGAAATAAACCTCCACACATGAGGCGTCTTTTGTCTAAAGAGAACAGTCATAAATTATCTGGATCATCATAGAAGTGTTGTTTCTTGGACAATCTAAGCCGTCAATTTGAATTGTTTCTTAAACAATCTAAGGCTTCAATTTGAAACTTAATGGTTAAATTCAGTCAATATAATCTAGATCCCATGTTGATGCAATCTTTCCAACATAAAACGATAAGTTATTAGTGAGTTAAATTTTGAATATTCACGAATAAAAATCCAATTTATGAGGGGTAAAATTAACTAATTTGGACGACAAAACCTGAAGCCAACTGAGCCGAAAAGGAAGGTACGAAAAAGAGCAGACGCATAGGATATTGTATAATGATGAAACATCCATATCTATGCATTCGGCTATCCCAAAGTTAATAGAAAAAGAGAAGCATCATTTGCATTTGTCATTCATCATGGAAGATAATAGATTATTACTTCTATCCTATGTGGTCCAACATCCAACTTTGGCCACCAACTGTACCCTTCAACCAAGCAAGTCTTTTATGCCCACCAAAAAAAAACCCAAAACCTAAACTCTAAAATTACACCCATATTTAAATCTAGTAAGGCTAATAAATAAGCATGGCAAACACTTTTAGCAAGTTGAGCAGTAAACATCATCTGCCCCTGTGCACTTCTGCGTACTGCCAGCAGCAACCCTCTCTGTGGTATTAAAAGTAAGAGCTTAGGATGGAGACAATGGTGGTGCCCTTCTGCATAGTCTGCTCCTCATCTACCATCCCCATAAAGCCAAACTTGCATTTTCTAGTTTTCCGAAAAAAAAAAAAAAAGCAGTACAGAGACAATCTTATAGATTCAGCTGTAAAATTGCTGTCTCTTTTGCCTAGTAGTCCTCCTAGCTAGCTATCATATATAGACCAATCAGCTAACCGTTGATACTGCTGAATATTTGATGAACTGCTGCTGCTACCTCATCCGTTGATCCCAGCTTACAATCATCCTCTAACTGCCATTACAACATCATAATAAAACCCATCATTTTGTTTTTTTTTTTTCAAGATACTAACATGAAAATGGGGCTTTGGATTAGGGCAAGAACCGAGCTAGCTGACTAGTCAAAATAGCTGACCAAAACAAAGAGACAATGAATTAGCTTAATTAGGGAATACAGGTAGTAGTACCTTAAGATTGAAAGAGTAAAGAACTGTTGCTTGAGAAGAATTAATGTTAAGGTGCAAAACTGTAAGCCTAAGGTCCTCCAATGCAACAATAGCTCTCAACAACTGCCCAGGACTTCTTTCACACTTTATCTTCAAATTTACATGGTTTTGTACTGTAAAAACCTCTAGCTCCGTCGTCTCAGATTTCTTCTTCACTGTTCTTTCCTCTTCACAATTGCCTCCCTCCTCCGCCAGAATGTCACATTGTCGCTGCGAAGTAAAGTATTGGTTGGGTGAAATGCCCGTGGTGGAGGCTGCTTCTATATCTATAATTATTTTTTGTGCTTCAAGAGATTGAACAAGCTGCTCTAGTTCCTTCACGAAGTCTATTGCACCTCCTATTATAGATGCTTGATCACCCTTTTTTATCCAAGAAAGAAAGAAAGAAAGAAAGACGACATAAAATGAGTTCTTGATGCAAAGAGTGGGAAAATAAATAAGGGGTTTTAAATTCTTGAGTCTAATTAAATTGAGTTCTTGAACAATAACGCAAACTGAAAATTTTGATAGTAATTGGTACTTGTAACGATATGATTACCCTTTGAATATACGAGGGCGGCATGAGAGAGCGGAGACAGTTAAGATGGTCGTTCATTAGGCGACGGCGGTTGCGTTCAACAGCAATGTGGTTCATGCGTTGGCTCTCTACTTCTTCTTTGTTTTTGGTTGGCCTTGTACGCTTTCTCTTTCTTCTTTCTCTGGTGATAATTGGAGAGGATTTAGAGAAATGGGTCTTAATATTAGGCACGGTTTGCGGTTGAGTAGTACTCCATGGAACCGAGGAGCTTGAATAGGGTTCTTCTGCGGGCTCAGGACTTACACCTTCGAGGCAGGAGTTTGAATGTGGGTTTGGGAGTTCTTTGGTTTCAGATTTGACTGGTGAGTGTATATCAACTATGTCGTGGGTGACACAACTTTCCAGCTCTAGTGGTTGAACTTGGGTGTCTGTTTCAGGCATGTAATAATTAGTGTTCATATTCCATGGTTTTTTGAGGTGTTGAAGTTTTAGTAGTGTCTGAAAGCTGGGTTCCTTGAAGGGAAAAAATGGTGGGGTTTCTATTGTTTGAAGCATTTGAAGAAAAGGCATTTTGTCTTCAAAGCTTGAACTTGAAAAGTGTGGTTCTTCTTCTACAAATCTTAAGCTTTCTGTGCTGACAAATTCTTGGTCTAAGCACTCCAAATCCAAGTTATGCTCCCCTAAGAACTGCAAGAAGAAAACAAAAACTCGTTTAAAAAGAGAAGAATCTTGAAAAAAAGAAAGGTAATGAGCGAAATTCTTGGTTGTGGTTTTACACCTAACCTTCTGAGGAAGTAAGGCGAAAAATTAACTGTCATGGATTTGATGGGTAGTTCAGTTTCAATAGAGAAAGCGAAACAAAAGAAGAATAAAAATAGAATGTTAAAGTGGAGGAAACAGTTCAGCAAACGTTAGCATTTCTAGAAAAATAATGCAATGCATTGAATGCAAGCATTTGGGTAAGTAAATGCAAGTCCATTTCTTTGATTCTAGTTAAGGTATTCAAAGAAAGAGAGAGAATTTTAAAATAAAGAGCAGTATAACATACACAAGGATTGATGGGTCCTTGCAGCCTCTCCATTGATGAGCAGTAGCAGTTGCAAGAGCGAGAGCTTTAAATTAAATTCTCTCTCTTCCTCTCTTCCTCACTTCCTCACCAACATTCCATTGTGATTCTAACAAAACAATAGTAATAAATGTAACCCCCAAGAAGCAGAAGAAGAGACCCCATGCACACAACCACAAAAATTATTATATTCCTTTGTGTTCTGCTGCTGGTGATACTCTTATATAGAATAATATTAAATGCTTTCAAGAACTAACTCTACAGGAAAAGAGAGAGAGAGAGAGAGTAACTACCCTAGTTAGCAGCAGTGGCAGTAATTAGAAATGGAGCCCAAGAGGAATTTGATCAAGATGGGTAAAACTTAAAAATCAAACAAAGGGTGGAAAAATAAAAACCACCCAAGTGAGCTAGAAAGATGTAAATGAGAGCAGGGAGTGAAAAGGGTTGAGAGTTGGTGAGGGTTTAGCAGATAGAGATAGAGAGAAGAAGGGAAGGGAGGGTTGTCTGGTTTGAAAGGTCCCAAGATCGCATTATTGGCGGTGGCAGTTTTGTCCAGCAGCGGGGACAGCCAGTTGTGGGGACTCACTCGCTCTCCTCTTTCAACCGATTATTATAACACCTTTGGAAAGTCCTTCCATGGATGGTGTCACTCCGTCTGATGATGGGTCCTTTCCTACATCTTCCTACAAACAATTTAATTTGGTAGCTCTACTTTATCAAAATTTCTATTTGAGTTCTATTCTTTTTTCAATTTAGGGTTCTTTACTCTTGAAAAGGTATTTACGAGTATTAGAAATATTTTCAACACACAAACTAGACAATAGTTTCTTTCGATAAAAATAAGTTCTAGTTATAGTGTTAATAATTTTAATTTATTTGATTATTATATAGTGAAAATGCCAGCTATTTTTATATAACCCAAAATCCAATGGATTTTATGATTACAAATTAAAAAAAAAAAAGACATTTTCATCAGTTATTTTTATGACAGATGTAATTGATTGATTTTAAAATTTGATGAAATATAGGAAGTTAATTTATGATTATCTCCCCTAAACATACAACACATTCACTCTCTATCCTTTTTTTTTTAAAAAAAAAGTTTTAATGGTATAATTTATCCCAAACTATTAGAGTTATGATAAAATCAGGTGTATATTAATGATTAGGACTATTTGGAACTCATACTATTAATTTTTAAGTAAAATTGATCCTTTTTTATTATTTCTGTCGGTTAAAAAATTGATCGTTAACACTTAAAATACCATTTTAAATATTTTAATTTTATTTATTTATTTATTTGAGAATTAAAAATAATTTCAAAAAAATACTAATTTTTTTAGAAAAATATATATTATTAATTATCTAATAAAAAAAGTTAAAGGAAATATTCAAGGTACAAAAAAGATAAAAATGGTTAAAAAAAAATTAGATGCATAAACAACAAAATCATTGCACCTTTCTTAAAACTAACTATTATTAAATAATTCTTTTTTTGAAATTAATTTTAATCATTTTAAGCATTAACGGTAAATATTTTGACTATCATATTTAATGAAGAATTGTCGAAATTGTCTAAATTGATAGTATAAACTTTATTTTACCATAATCTCAATAATTTAAGAATAAATTATGCCATTAAACCCTTCTTTTTATTTTGTTTTATCTTTTCATGTTTTGTTTTACATGGAAGGATAAATACAATGCACCACTATACCCTTTTTTCTTTTTTAAACAGTGCTCATGGGAGCCAAACAGTATGATTATGACTGCTTTGTAATGGTTATTGGAGAGTTTTAGCAAGTCCCCGCATCTCTGTTTTTTAACCATTTCACACTTGATTGGCGTTTAATTTGTTTTGTGTATTTAAAGAAATTCTTTTGTGAATGTTGAATTGAAAATAGTTCTTCATGTGGCATCGATCATAATTAAAATACCAACAAAAGAGAGTTTTCTTTGGAATAGAAAAGGAGAAACCTTATTAATTTAATAAAAAATAAATTAATCTTATTATCAATTGAGTTTCAAACTTCTTAATTTCCAGTACTTTAATTAGCTTAAGAAATTTAGGCTTACAAAACTTTTATAAGACCTCTCTAAAGAATGAAATTAATGGTAACCATGCAATATATAATAATTTTCAGTTGTAAATTAAGTTTAAGTCAAATCCGGATAACCCATAGAAATATAATTAATTTACTTATTTCACTTTTTCCACGAGTAAATACTCTTTTTTTCGTAATCAAAGGTGCAATATATGCTCTTGTCAGTGATATTTAAAGACTTGCCAATCGATGGATCGAGATTGAGCGTCTAGATGCGTCATGTGTTAATGGAAGGTAACTAATGTATTAAGTACTTAATTAGCTAAATCAAATGATGTTGGTGTGCTTATTCTTCGGACTTGGGGCTTATCCACTTTAGGGGATCTTCTTAACCAATGACAAAGATAAAATTATATGTCGAGGACAGCAAATTTTGGTACATAAGAAATAATTAAGGAAATTATGGGAGAAAACTAATATATTTTTATTTATAAATATATGAAAAACTGAAATACAAATCCTAATAAAGTACAGGAAATACGTAATTTAATACCCCTTCTCTCATACCTGCTTAATTAGTCACTGATCTTAAGTCTTATGCGGGGGAGATCCCGGCGTTACCGAATCATGCACTAGTTTGAAAAACAGAAATACAACAACCCACTTTTATTTAACCGAGTATAATCTATATCTACGAGAAATTTTATAATACATAAGGAGTAATTGGTGACATGTACGGTAGTTACTCATTCGGCTCACTTTGAGGAGAGAGATAGATACACAAAAAGAGAAAAAAAATAAGAGAGAGAAAATAAAAAAATTTGAGCGGACGTGGAAATCTTCTTATCACTTTTGGTGGGTATAGATGTAATTTCTCTCTTTTTTATGTGTCTATCTCTCTCCTCAAAATGAATCCAAAGAGTAACTACTGTACATGCCACTAGTTACTCTTTGTGTATTATAAAATTTTCCTATATCTATCTCTCTTGAAAGTTTGAACGTGGGATAAGTAAATGCGAAAACTATTAAAAAGCTTACTAATTTAATAATGGATGAATGGTTACAGGGAATTTTTTTTTTTTTATCTTGTTTCTTTTTGTTAAAAAAAAATAGTTTGTTATTATTCATTTACTTTCTATCTTAAATCCATCTATTCCTTAACCTTTTGGATTGACGGTATTAAATCGGATAGTTAATTCCACATAATTGTGATACATACCTGCCAACTTTGGTTTTTTTTTTTTTTTAATCATGTTCTTCTACTCTTTACTTTAGATAAATAAATTTGAAAAAAAAAGTTAAGATATATCATGTCATTCTCTCTAAAAACTGGAAAAAAAAAGTGTGAAGATAAAAATATTTTTTTATGGATTTAAATTTATCTTTATAATAATAGCAAATTTTGATTGTAATATAAAATATTTATAGTATTTTTTTAAAAAAATATCAAGAAAGTTTTAGTTAAACTTTTGAATGATATTTATAATTTTATAACATCATATAAGAGCCTATTATAATTTGCTTACTTGAGAAATGTTTAAAAGAATAATTTCAATTTTAGAGAGAATGACATGATATATTTTTACCTATTTTTCGATTTATTTTTTTCAAATTTTATTTATTTAAATTTGATAAAATAAAGAGTAGAGAGACGAGATCAAAACGAAAAAAAATTGACATGTGTTGCAACTCTATAGAGCTAATAGTGGGATTTAACACTATTAGCTAAAAAAAAAAAGATCAGCTTAAGACAAAAACTAAATGTGGAAATTAATACTAACTTAAAACCAACCAAAAAAATAATAATAATAAGGTAAAGAGATACAATAAAGATGAAAAAAATAATTGAAGGATCCATACAATAATTAACACAATTTATTATCATATTTATACAAACATTTCAAAAGTTGTTGATACTTACAATTGATTGATTTTCTAAAAGATATTTATTCTGACCCGTAATTAGTTCTCTAAAAGTTTATGTATTTGAAAAAAATATACAATAATTCATTGTTGTTGCTCTTTTAGATTGTAATTTTTAACGGAATTCTTTATAAAAAAAAACACACACACACACACAACCTTCATCTATTTCTTATATAGTGGGTCAAATTTTTAATCTGTCCTTAAATCTAAAAATGCTTCAAATCGATCTTTGTTATTTAAGTCGATTTCTAATCTATCATTCTGGTTAAAATTTATGATAAAGTTATTAGAAATTAATCTTCATATTAATAAAATATATCAATTGTGCTAAAAAATAAAAATAATTTTATTAAATCGCATATCATATGCAAATCACATGTTTAATTTGATAGAAAATTTTAACTAAAATAATAGGTTAGAAATAAGTTCAACTAACAAAGACAAATATAATTGATAGGTGATGGTATTAACTAAAAAAAAATGGAAAATCACTTTTATGTTATTAATTCTATGGTCATTACTCTACTGATCCGCTGGGATTCTTAATGGAGTTAGGATATTTTTTGCTGGTTATATACAAAAATTAATTTCTTCGTTTTTCTCATGGCTAAGTCACTTGTCATGCTCATCGATCCCTCCCATTAATAAAATTAATAAATATTCTCTCTACTATCAGGAATAAAACATTAACAGCGTGCTAGCTAGGATACTAGGACGCAATATAATGAATGGTATAATGTGATTAAGAATGTATCGTCATGAAATTAGGATAATTTTATTTTCTTCTTTCTCTCTCTTCCTCTTAACAAAACATCTTCTCATAGATTCTAGTTTGGGTTGCCGCGGGCATTTTTTTTTATTTGATTTTTTCTTGTTTTATTTGATATGGATAAGATTTTTCTCATCATTTTGTTTATTTTCTACTATTAGAACCTGATTTTTTCAAATATGATCTGTAGGTATAATTCTCTCTTTAAAGAAGAGTTTTATGTTTCTAAATCTGGGAGATTAGATCATTTGAATAAAAATTTTAAGATTCCTCTTTTTTTTTTTTTTTTTTTTTTTTTTTTTTTTGAAAAAGTGACTCAAATCTTTCATTAGTAAAGCTGATAGTGTGCAACACGTTTTCTCGTTGATATATGGTTGTAAGAGATTCGTCTCTATGTGAAATTTGAAAGAAAAGTTCTATTTTAGAATATCTTAGTTTGAAAAGTTTAGAGATCTCTATGTTTTCTTCATGAAATGACTAAATATTGTCTTAAAAACAATGATCCACGGAAGTTGTAGAAATTTTTGCCATAATTTTTTCCCCTTATACGAGATGGTAGACAAGTCATTTGGTTATATCACTTTGATAAAAAATAATGTATCTTCGTGTAAATGAATGTTTCCTCTTTTACTTGCTTGAAAAGTTTTATAGCAGTGGAACGTAGCTTTCCATCATTTTGGTTTGTCTTTATATATTTGAAAATTTAACTTTCATCCTTATTTATTATTATTATTATTACTACTACTCCTCCTCCTCCTATTATCTTGCAAATTAATAGCATTATTTTGGTATTTTTTTTTTTATAAAAGTAAAACTTTAGTCCTTATGTCAAAAAATTATTTCTCTCATCTCCTTGATAAACATGCAATGGGGATCTCCACTGTATACTTGCTCTGTTGACAATTTCGTCTCTTCGGAAAGTTACAATCGTCTATGAATTAGTATTTGATGATTTGACTATCTATAAGGTTTAGATTCTCAAGTAAAATATTAATTATCGCTTATTATATATTTTTCCTAAAAATTTTGTAGAGGGCGTTCTTGAGAATTGATCGGACGATCGATCGACGAACGGTTAAAATATAGAGAACTAATGTTGTAAGTTATAAAAATATTACTCAATCAATTAAGTAAAAAGGATGTAAATGGTGAGAGGTTTGAGAGGAGGAATATACAATACTAGCAAGACACAAGTTATGTGACTAATATATAGAAGGTCAAAGTTCAAATATGTAAAATTTTAGATGTTGTTTGGTGTGTGGGCGGAAGAACTTTGAGATTGAATGTTTGAGTATTTCTTTTATTAAAAATTGAAAATTCTCTAGTCAAAAGTTCTTTAATACAAAAATTCTAAGCCTCTCGTAATGATATATGTTGGTATTTATAGTGAACGAAAATGATTCTTAGTAGCAAATGTTAAATGAAATAACAATTAGGTCTTTTTTAAATAGATCATGTTTCGAGTCCATTAAACTAATCTTCCTAATGCATTTCAAAAACAAGGTATGAATATTGATTTTGTTAGAATACCTGTGTTCATCATTGCGACCCAAGACCTTATTTCGAATTAGGTTCATTCTTAATTCAATCTATTTGTCATGTAATTTGAACTCATGTTAAAATTAAAAAATAATAATAATATGAATTAATATAGAATAAAAATTAAATAAATCAATTAAAAAATCTAACAGATTCAACTTTTCGTTTAAATAGAATTAAACCTTTGTTTTTTATTAGACATTTGAATAAAATCTTAATTAGTATTTGATGATTGGTAAAAGTACTTTGGATTTGAAAACTTGATATACCCCACCACTAATTTGTACCTAATTTTTTAGAATTTTAGTTGAACTTTTGACGTTCACATTCTTAGAGCAACATGGTAAAACAGGCAACATCACTAGTGGATATTTCATCCTTATAATTGATTTTTTTTTTTGGATCGGTCATATTTCGATGGCTAATGGTGGGGATATTTCGCATTAATTATGTCGGAAGTAAAACTTTTTTATCGAAAGGGAGCATTTATGATGGATACTAGATTAGAAGTAAAGTTCCTAGAAAACTTACTCTGTAAATCCATTCCCCTGTCCCTTTGATGATATTGAGCTTCAATCTCTACTTATGAACTCATGACTTGATTGATCCCAAAAGTAGAAACTCAGTATCAGTATGTGCAGGAAAGAAACACACGCAGATCCGCCCGAGTTCTAATTTCAGCTATTTTCAAGAGAGAGGAAAATCGGAAACCTGAGACCCCAGCTGCAGGTTGTCCTTTAATCTGGCAGGTAGATTACCTGATGACCAAGGCACTCTGTCTCACAAGTTTCTGAAAGTCGTAACAATAAACATGCCTATAATTCATAGATTGGGGCACCATGCTTCTGACTCTCAGATACTGAGAATCCAAGCTAAGACAGCCTTACATTCTAGAAAAGAGCCACCATTGATATTATTAACCTTGGGTTCCCATAAGACCTTGCCCTTTTCTAAACTTCAATCCTGTCCTATAAGGCGTTTATTTATTTATTTTAATTAGCTTGATATATACTTTCCTACAATCATCTCGCATGTGGCAGCTTCCCCTTTCTACATCAAGCAAGTAATCAAACAGCTCGCCATTATGATAAATTCTAAGCGGCAAGATGTACACAAGTGCGTTCACAACTTACATGGAAGAAAATAGTATATGAAATGCACAATTTACAAAGACAACAAATTGGATCCATTGAAACTCTGCTCACCCAACTTCACTTGATAATGTCTAGGAACCTTATCCATTTTGAACCATGGTGTGGTTCCTTTTACTCCTATAAAATTATCGTATAACTTAAGCCACACAACCAAGGTCATTTTCATTCTCATGAAACTGCATCAATTTGAACTTGTCTTGTAGCTAATTGATTAATTCCAACCCATCCAGAGACCATAGGAAAAGAAAATAACAACAAGAGTTCTAGCATTAACCCATCAACGTTGGCTTTGGTTAAGTTATACCTATCGGTTTTGTTCTCATCTTACAAGGTCAAGAAGCTTCTCCGCTGTAATTCCTGTTTCAGCATCTTTTTTAACATCAACCACATCACCTAGTCAGTTTACTGACTACTGAGAGTCCTACCAGCATTTCACAGTAAGAAGGGAGGTCACGAATCTTTAGACACAAACTGGATGACGCCAGCGCCCCCACATGCCAGCATCATCTTCCTAGCTGTAATATAACAAACGAACTGTTACCTGCAGAGAAGCTTCATCTCCACCTCAATTTGGGGTGCCTGTGACACTTTAAAATTACCAGCGGTAGACCCCAACTCTCAGTAACAGTTGATGAATGCCTTTGGCGGTAGGCAAAGCAATTTCCTTTACCAGCCTGACGAAAGCTTCTTCCCATACAAAGAATATTGTATGTATACGGATATTTTTATAGTAACTTGTATGAAATGGAGCAAAAGAAAAGATTGCAGAAACTATGTTTACCCACTCTAGATATGTAAATTCACAAAACCAGGAGCCAAACAGCGCTCATGGCCAAATTAAAGATGACAATTTCTATATGGCGCCTGAGAATCATTTTAAAAGGACGACACGTGAAAGCGTATCACTATGAACAGAATATGCGCCCATGTGATAGAAAAATCATAACTTTCAGAAAAGTCTGGACCCATATTTAACTAGTAAATTCTTTTGCCTCTGCTAACGCTCTATCTGGATGGTTACATGACTGATATTGCACTCCCTTTTGATATAGTTTATCGCATTGTCTAGCACAACGTCTGCATTTGCTTCAGGCCTGATTTTCAGATGACAAGCCAAGAGAATCTTGCCCACAGTAATGGCCCATATGTGCAGTTCGTGGACTGCCACCACCTCCTCCATTTCCAACAGTCCCTTTTCGATCTTTGTTGCATCTATCTCTCTTGGAGTGCTCTCCATCAAAACTTCAAGTATGTTCCGTAGCATTTTGATTGTCGTACCCAAAACTATAACAGAAAAGATTAGGGTGCAGATCAGGTCAATGATCTTCCACTCAGGCTTATACCATATGATTCCACCTCCAATCATTACACCGATACTCTGGATGGAATCTCCAAGTACATGGAGATAAGCTCCTTGTACGTTTATGTTCCTTTGCTTCTTTTCATGCCCGGCTTCCCCTTTATCCAGCAGGGGCTCAACGTGTTCTTCATGAGCAAGATGGTGCTCATCTTTTGAGTGGTCATGATGATTGTCCTCATGCTTTGGGTGCTCCTTATGATGCTGGTGATGAGCAGCAACTGTCATTCCAGGGCTGTGGCCAGTCCCATGATTGTGATCATGGTCATGTCCATGATCATGTCCCAACACGAGAGCCATGACGATATTCACTAGAAGACCAAATGCAGCTACAAGAAACATAAGAAACCCATCTACCTCACCCGTATCATGGATAAGCCTAACAATGGCTTCATAAACCAAAATCCCCGCAAGCAACCAGATGAGCTGTATGGAAACCAATGCACCGAGAATCTCAATCCTAAAAAATCCGTAAGATTGACGGGGTGTGGCTTCCCAGCTAGCTGCCCATAAAGAAAACAAGGAGACAGCAAAAGCTGCAACATCTGAAAGCAAATGCGCAGCATCGGTCAAGATAGCCAGACTATTGGCTTTGATGCCACCAGCTACCTCAGCACTCATGAAGACTACACAAAGCACCACAGCTATCCAGAGCTTACGCATTGAAGCTGAACGTTCTTTGGCATCCTTGGGGTTATAAATTACGCAAGGTGCTTCCCCGCATACCTTACTCCCTCCACTCTGCTCTCCATCAAGAATATCCACTCTTATTTCAACAGGGTGCCCATGCTGAGGTTTTTGTGCTTCCATCTGAAAGTTCACAGCAACACTGTGAATACCATATGAACTCTAACAGAACATGCCTGCATATAACGTGCACAATGTATTCTGTAATTGAAACATGGAAGAGTAGATTATTGTCTTAAAACATCAAGACAATTTGACAAGCAAATACACCATTGAAGTAGCTTATGATGAACTAACATACAAAAGGAGAAAAAAATGAAAGAACTGAAAAGATGAAAGTTGTTGATAATGGTATGTTACACCAAACTCAAGCACTAAAGGAAGAAATTCCAGGTTCCTCGATATCAACTAGTCTAAGAGGCAAACTCATGAAGATTATTTGATTGCATGAACTTTTAAAAGTAATTTTGTAATTCGAAACTAGTAACTTTCCTCCTCCTCCTGCCTTTTCAAAGACAGTAGTCTCCATAGAACTAGACCACAAACCCTTAATGATAAGTCATGCTAGCTTAAACAAGAATTTGATAAATTGTGCATATATGAATAAATTTGAGTTGTTATGATAGTGATTAGATATTACACCAACAACTTCTGGCAGAAACAAATCCATAAATGTATTGATTCTGAAAAGTGTCACTCACATAACCAGCCAAACCAATACAGATTAAGGCATTTGGATTGTTAGAAGGCCATTAACTTCAATTCAGAATTTCAGAAGGATTTAGAAAGTTAAGTTCATAATGTGATCATCACTACCTGGAACATAAGTGGTCTGATACAAATAACTCATCCAAAACAATGGATCGCATAACACACCACAACTTGCATGACGACAATTAAAAATATAAGCATGTTCCAATTTTTTAATCCTGATTCAAAATCCATGAAAGAAGGATCACACATGACCAATTTAAGTTCACAAGACAAGCACCTATTCATAGACAGCATATTAGCAGTGCACATGTAGGAATGAAGGACTGGAGCATGCCAAAAAGTGGATCAGTGGAACAATAGAAGTGGCTGAATGGTAGTCTGCCAAGTAAGCCCTCTTGGTTTTTTTTTTTTTTTTTTTTTAATTAAAAAGAAATCATTTAACACAATTAAACAACTGGACCTTTTCAACAACATTCGAATATGTGGCAATAATTATGCATCAAAGGAATCCAATAACTGAATTCCATTCCAAACAATGCATTATCCCCACTTGTAAAAAGATCTAATAAAGGAAAAGTTCATCTTTGCAGTGATATGCTTTACATGCACTTTCTCCCTTTATGTCAGTGGCTTTATACTTCTGCTAGATGCAAAGCGCTTCAGGCATAGAAATGTCGTTAAGGAAGGAATCAGAAAAGGAAAAAAAAATTCCTATTTCCCTACAGATAATGTAACGGCAGCCTATCAGCAGACAAAATTGCAATTAATACCAAGCATTGAACCATGTGGATAAATCTGCACATCTAAAATTCACAGGGAATAACATGCTGCACGTCTAACAACTGTATTGGAAGATTGTGGGAAAGAAGAAAACCATAGAGTAAAGAATAGAGGATCTAAGGATCAAAGCCATAAAGGAGAGAAGCTAACAGGTTACCTTTCAAGGCACTCGAAATTTATTAGTTACAAGATGTCAATAATGCAAAGAAGTGGTACTTTGATAGACACAACGAAGAGCTTAATTTTCAGTGAGTGGGATTTTTTTTCTCTATTCCAACACACTAAAATTTTCTCGTCCAATAATAATACTTAAAGATCATAAGTTGCAGATAGAAATCAAACACCGAAAAGACCCACCAGAAATCATAATGAATTTAACTATAAAAGGAAAAACACCCCCATGTTGTACAAATTTAATAGATCTCAATCTCCCAAAAGTTTTTTGATTGGATTAGGTAAAGGATCTAGCATGACCAGTTCCATGCTAAATCAAAAAACAGACAAAAAGCAGCATATAATTAGTTATTGGTATTGAAAACAACCCTGCTGCAAATAATACCTAAGAAAAACCCAACAGGATAACAAGTAACAACAGCATAATACATATAAAATAAACAAAGAAAAAAAAAACAGACTCGTTCTAAACTAAAACATCAAAGGATATTAATTATACACACTTAAACCCCAAAGTCCAAAGGATATTATACACACATAATAAGAAAAAGAAAATGCAGCGGCAGACACCAAGCAATTAGCAAACACATTCAAGATTAAAAAGAGAGAGAGAAGGTCCCAGGTCATCCATCAGTTATGACATTAACATAAATAATTGGATTGAATTCATGTAAGAGGAGTTAACAAGCGAGTAAAAACAAAGACTGATCGGCTCACTATACAATTAAAAAACAAAATAATGGAAGTTAAAGAATATGTATCTACCATTTGATTTGTTCTTCAGACTTCAATCTTCCTTGCTTCCACCAATCGTTATTAAATTAATTTGACTCTCAAAAACCTCTATCGTGTGGTCTTCGTTCACATTCTTTTCGTGTTTATATAGCATCACTAGGATGAAGAGCAAAGGGGTATAGAATTAGATAGGCTGGGTTTATAGGTTAAGAGGTTTTTGGGCCCAAATATTAGTGCCTTCAAAGTGAAATTCTGGACAATGCTTTATCTAAGCCTGTGCTTTGGGTTGACAAGAAGCCCATTGGCTTTTCATATGTTACGATGGACAGGTAAACAATGATCATGCACGTCTGCAGACCTACTGCGATGTTCTACAACTATCTATTAATAGGCAGCATCGAGTCGCTCCTAAATGTAACTCTTCTTTCTCTTGCTTTTTTTTTTTTTTTTTCAGGAAAAAAAAAATCAGCCATGATGAGAGGGTTTTTCCTTCTTTTTATCCTTCTAAATATAGAAATTTTATTGAATTGAAAATAAGAAAAGCTTTTAAATTTAAATTTCAAGCCAATCGATATTTTCTCTGAATATAAAAAATTAAATAGGTTACATGTCATACTAAAGACGCAAAAAAATATACAATAAAAATTTTACTTAAAAACTAAAAATTTAAAATATAAAAACTATTTTACAAGTAGAAGAATTATTTTCCGACAATCTTTTAATAGTGCTGTTTTTTCAATCTTTCACTTGATACTCCTTTTAACAAGAGATCTAAAACTAATATCAGCAATTTGCATAAAATTTCCATTACAGCACAAAAACTAATGGAATGGCAAGAGAACACAATAAATAAATAAAACAATCAAATAACCTTAAATTGAGGAAAATACAAGATAAACATACAAAAATCATTAAAAAAAAATATCAGATTTAGTGGTAAGAATAACGGATTTAGAATTATTGCTGACAAAAGAAAAAAAAAGTAGGAAAATGCTATTGCCAGTGGCGATAGCTAGTTAAGAAAAACTATAGTGACTTTCAAAATCCTAGAGAGAGAAAATAACTAATTTCCCATGTTCTTTTTTACATGATTTTTAAAATTTTCTATGATTAAGAATGTCTTTTTTTTTTTTTTTTAAATCACATTTCAGTTGTGAATTAAAAAAATTAAATTTTGTAGTAAGTGAGCATCTCTTCATATTTTTCATCCAACATTCTATATTGCATAAAAAATAAACTTCTATTAACGCATCAATTCAGATGTAGAAGAAGTACTCAAAATTCAATAAAAAAAAAAAAAAGAAAAGAAACTTAGTTTTAATATGCAAAAACACTAACTCAAGGATACCTATGGCTTAAAAAAAAAAAAAAAAAAAAAAAAAAAAAAAAACCCAGCTTACACAATCCGATTCACAACACCATTCATTAATTGTTTTTGATTTGAAGTTAAAAATTAAGAGTTGAGTCTTAAAGATAAAGCGTTAAATGATTGAAGGGAAAAGGATCAAGGGTGTTTAATAGTCCCCATGTAAATTAGCTTCATAATATTAATAATAGAGAGCTGCTGATCAAACCATAAAAATAAAAAAATAAAAAAAAAGGTACTAATGGAATGGATCCTTTTTTCTACCCAACTTTTTCTTTTTGAACCTTTATAGCAGCCCACTTCCTCCAAGCTTAGTTTGAGAGAGACAGCCTCCACTTTGCAATGACTGTGTTCCATTGGCAGGCTCTAAAGATGATGGGTAGGAGTAATTGATTTACAATTAAGCTTTCACTTGTTGATCCCCAACCCCAAGGCATCTACATAATTTACTCAATAAGTAGATTGACATTAAGTTGTTAAAGTTATGAATCTGATACCTTGTGCGTGCATCCTTATGATCCTGTGGAGAATCGAGTCTCAGGAAGTACCAGATAATTTTAGAGATGCGATGCCCAATAGGAGGGGGAGTCGTAACTCATACCCCACAATATAATTTTTTTTTTTTTTTAATTTGGACATTAGAATTAGAATATTTAAATGAAACCATTAGGCAGTATTCATTGTCAATAGGTCATAGAGCACTTAGAATGTTTTTTTTTTAAGAAAAAAAAACCTAAAAAAATCAAAAAGTGATAGTTTGCTGATTAATAAGCATTGGTCTATTGGTAAAATTCTATAACAAACGTTGACTCGTAAACAATTCAAGATTCGATTTTTGTAGTTAGTAATTTTAAAAATTTATTTTTAAAATATTCAAGATGATGTGTTAAAGAGTATCTTTTGATCATATTTAAAAAAAAATATTAATATTGAAATACCTAAAAATAATCTGAATACACTCTTACAGAAGAAGGAAAAAAACTAGAAATTGATGGAGCAAAAAACAAACTAAACTAAGCAGTCCTTTAATTTGTCGGTGAAAATATTCCGTCCCTCTTTTTAAGCGGCGCTCGTTTAGTCAAAAAGTGAGGCATGGGAAATTAAAAAAAAAAAAAAATCTTTATCGTATGTCTTAGTAGGGTTTCTATATCACAGTCAACATCATCGTTCTGCAGTGTTTTTATAAGACTACTTCTACTGGCTTTTGCATTAAATAACAAGATCTTCGAAAAAAATTTATAATACTTCGTGAGTAATTAGTTTCATAGTTCATTTTTAGAAAGAAAGAGTTTCATATAATCATATCCATTTTAAGAAGAAAGTTCAAACTAATTTACTAGGAATTTCAAACTTATTCACTCCATTGCCAGCCATCAAATTACCATATATCACAAATTGTTAAAAAAAAAAAAAAAAAAAACTATTCCCATTCCCTACTTAATTACTCAGTTTCTAAATTAAATTAAGGCTCGATCTATATTCCCGTTGGAATACATATGTTATATGCGATCGAAGGCTCATCGTGTGTTAGTTATCAAAGTCAAAGTTGGTCGAAGTAAAAATTAATTATCAATTATCCTGTTTGTTCTTACTCTGCTGCTTGACTGAAAGTTGCCACCGTAAATGGGACAAATGGCTTCTCAATCTGGACCTACTTTTAGACGGCGAATACAAATGGTGCATGGTTGGCTGCATGGAGAGCCATGCGTCTTGTTTGTTTTCATGCCTAGTGTGGCATAATTTATTTTTATTTATTTTATTGTTATATACCACCGGCATAATTAAGTTGAAATTAGGCAAAAACCTTCTAAAAGAAAAAAGAAAAAAAAAAAAACAAATCAAGTGCCCTTATCAGAGCAAGCAATCGGTCCTAGAGAAAGAAAAAGAAGATGGTAATTTTTGTTGTCTATGATCATCGATCATGATCTATCCATAGGCTAATGCATGGACACTGTAATAGGACATGACATTCTCAAGATTCTGAACTTCCTTCGATGTGCCGTTCATATTACAAAGTACAACTTGAAAGGAAAATAAAAAGGGAAGTCTGCAAGATAAAAGATAAAGGAAACTGCACTAAAACCCACATATGTATAAAGAAGGAAAAGAACCAGAATTAGAAAGCGAGCTCATGGACTTCTGTACGTTTTTAAACCAGCATAGTTAACTTCATATATCCACTTTACACTGTGGAGACCCAAGCAAAGGCACCTGCCCAACAAAACCCTTCTTCAAACCCACCCAGATATCACACTTCACATAAACCCCATATCTCCCAGTCTTTATAACCCCAGCTTTCCACCTCAACCTTCCCAACACCACCACCCTTAGTGCCACAACCCCGTATGCCTCATCCATCACCAACCCATTTGAAACTTCCACTGACACCGGCACCCCTGCCCCGCCAAGCACCGGAGACAGGGCCACTGTGCTCTTTTTCTCATGATAAAGTGGAGGCAATACGAGTGGTGGAGTTATAGCTTGGTTCCTGTATGATACATAGGCAGTGAGTTTATCATACATGATTGAGACCCTCCTGTTGGGGTTTCTAGTGACAAGAGTAAACTGCATGGAGGTGGAAATGAAAGGTGGGGATGTGGTGTTAAGGTCGTATATAGCTGCCCCAACTACAGTGAACTGGGGCTTGTGGGGTCTGTAAATTAACCAGCCTATGAGAACTGCAAGACCTGCTAAGAGAAGGAAGATGGTGATGAATGTGCAGAAAGCACGGCGTGGGTCTTTGGGTCTGTTTCCCATGTGTTTTCCTTCCTTCTTTTTGGATTGCTGCGGGTTGGCTTTTATTTGATGCGGGTTGGTTTCTATTTGGTGCGGGTTGGTTTCTACTGATTGTTGCTCTTCTGCCATGAGAAATATGATTATATAATATTTGTTGTGAGGGGCCGAGGGTGGGGTGGGGTGGGGTGGGGTGGGGGGGAATCGTTTGGGGGGTTGGGGGATGCGTATATGAATAAATAAAAAATAAAAAAAAAACACAGAAAAGAGAGAGAGAGAGAGAGGAAAGGGAAAGGAGATCGTTTGGGTGGTGAAGATGACGAGTGAATATAAGAGAAAAAAAAGGCAGAGGAAGGGGAAGAATCTGTGGGACAAATGGAACAAAAAAGGAAGAGGAAAGCAGGGGAGTCGGGTCACTTGGAACTAAAGTGATCTTTTTTTAAATAGTTAATTTCAATCTACCTACCGAGGTTTAGGACAAATTCTTTTTTTTTTTTTTTCAGATTCCAATTAAGTATTAATGTCCTCTTTTCAAGTTATCCATACCAATAAAAAAAATATTTTTTTAGTCCCAAAACTTTTGAAATTTATCAAATAAAACCTTTTTAAAATAATTTGATGTATCAAATCTTGTTACGTGCTCCACTTAAAAGATTCAAATGATATAATGTACATCATATATATTTTAAAAATTAAAAATTAAAATTTATTTTTCTTTGACTAAGGTTTACATTGAAAAAAATATTGAATATTTTGAAAATTAGAAAAAGATTAAATTTGAAACACCAACAAAAATAAATAAATAAATAAAACTTTAAAACTAAGAGGTCTATTGTTAAGGATAAACAATTCTTAAGCTTTTGTATTGTTACGACAATATAATCATTAATTAACAAAGTAACAATACATTTGATAAAACTAGTTAACGTGAAACTCGAATGTCAAGCAACTTAAATTGTCGAAGAAAAAGCATAACATATTTATTTATTTATTAGTTCTATAGTTTTAAACTTTCTCTTTACAAATAGTTTTTAATTTGATATATGTTCTGCTATTTTTTTATGAATTTTGTATTTATATTTTTAAATATAAATGACATATGTTGAATTATTTGGGTTTCTAAATTAAAAGTAGAAAGTTTTATCTCACCAAATTATTTATAATTTTTTTAATCAACATTCAAAAGTTTAGGGATTGAAAAAAAAGTTTATTAATTAATTTGATTTTGAAATTTTAGGGAAGACATTGAAATAATCGAAACCTTAAAAAAATAATTGAAAACCATTACTATAAAACAATAGGTTTTAGTGACGATTTATAAAACTATCGCTAAAACTATGAAACATCGACGATTTTTATAAAATCATTAATATTCCTTTCTCAAAATTAGATATTTAACGATGGTTTGTAAACTATCGCTTATTTTGTCACCCATGATTGTTTTTAGCGTCAATTGTAAACAAATCGTCACTAAAAAGATAAATCTTTTTGGAATTTGCGATGGTTCACTTAAACCATCGCTAATTCAAAAAAAAAAATGATTTTTAACGATGGTGTGTATATAATAGTCGCTAAAAACCTTGTAGTATGAGTGGTTTTAGCGATGGTTAGTGAAATCCGTCGCTACATCCATGAAGATGGTGAGTCAATGGAAAAAAGGCTTTCAGCAACGATTTTTTTTTATAAAAATCGTCATTTATTATTGTTGAAGGGGAAACAAGCAAATTTGAATAAATTAATGTTTTTAGCGATGATTTTAGTAACGGTTCAAGATCGTCACTAAAAACTTAAATCCCTAAAAGCTACCGCAAAATTTTTTTCCCCATTTCTTCTTCTTCTTATTCCAATAGTCTGCTACCTCACCACTTTCTTCCCTATTTCCCCTCCAATATGAGCTGCACCTCCCTCCAAATCTCCCCATTTCACTTCTTTTCTTCTTCCCCACCATCTCTTTTTGTTTCCTCTTCCCTTTTCTTCTTTTTTCTCTCCCTCCCTCCTCCTCCCTCCCTCCCCTCCGTATCTTCAATCACTATGCGGCGACAACGAGCATCGGCTCCTCCACCTCTTCACGTACCGTGAGTTGGCAACAACTCCTACCTCCTTCTCGACTCCTCCATTTGTGTAATTGATAACTAATTAAGTTTTTTTCTATTTATTCATTAATTTTATATTTATTGTTTAATTAATTGTTAGTTAGTTTAATTTAGTTTTTTTTATAGTTAATTTGTTAGTTGTTAAAAATAATAATTATGTGTTAAAAAATTAATTAAGTATTATTTTATTTAATTATATTTTTTAATTATTTATTTATTAATTGTTAGTTAGTTTAATGAATTTAGTTTGTTTTCATAGCTAATTTGTTGGTTGTTTATTAAATTAAGTATATTTTATTGTTTAATTAATTATTTGTTAATTGTTAGTTAGTTTAGTTTAGTTTGTTTTTATAGTTAATTTGTTAATTATTAATTAAATTAATTATTTGTTTAAAAATTCAATTAAGTGTTACTTTATTTCATAATGTGTTAATTAGTGTTCTTAAAGTTGTTAATTATATTAAGTTTGTTTATAGATAATTAAATACTTTAATTGTTTTTTAAAATTTTAATAGGCGTAAGTTTAATTATTTATGTGTTAATTAAGTGATTTAGAATTTAATTATATTAATTTTATTTGTGGTTGATAAAATTATTTAATTTTTTTAAATTTAATTGTTTTTTTCTTTTATTTCATAGGGGGTGCCAATTAAGTTATTTATATCTTAAATTAGTTAAATTAATTGTCAATTAAATTATTTAAATATTTTTTAAAAAATATTGAGTTTGTTATAGTTTAATTAATTTGGTAGTTAATTAATTTTTTTAGTTTTTAAAATAAGTAAATTAGTTATTAATTAAATTAATTATATTTTGTTAAAAAAATTAATTACGTGTTAGTTTAAACAATTTGGTAGTTAATTAAGTTTTTTAGTTATTAAAATAAGTAAATTAGTTTTTTAATAAATTAATTAAATTTAGTTTAAAAATAATATTTATGTGTTAGTCTAATTAATTTTGTAATTAATTAAGTGTTTAATTTGCTAAAATAAATAAATTATCTTTTAATCAAATTAATTAAAGTTAGTTTAAAATCTACAATTACATGTTAGTTTAATTAATTTAGCAGTTAATTAAGTTATTAGTTTTTTAAAATAATTAAATTTAGTTTAAAATCTACAATTATGTGTTAATTTAATTAATTTACTAGTTAATTAAATATTTGATTTATTAAAATAAGTTTATTAGTTGTTAATTAAATTTAGTATAAATGTAACAATTACGTGTTAGTTTAATTTGTTTAGTATACTTAATTAAGTTTTTTATTTCTTGAAATTAGTAAATTAGTTATTAATTAAATTAATTAAATTTAGTTTAAAATTTAAAAATATGCGTTAGTATAATTAATTTAGCGAGTTACTAAGTTTTTTATTTGTTAAAATAAGTTAATTAGTTGTTAATTAAATCTATTTAATTTAGTATAAAATTAACAATTACATGTTAGCTTAATTAATTAAGTTTTTACTTAATTTTTTATCTATTAAAATAAGTAAATTAGTTATTTTTTAAATTAATTAAATTTAGTGTAAAATGAATTTGGATCGTTCATGGATTGACTATAGATTTATCGATATTCTTTTAAATCGGCGTTTCATAGATAGGATCAATGAATTTATTAATTTTGCCGTTACTTATTAAAGTGTATGGACGAAAATAAGATAAGATGTCTATGTAAACTTAAAACATGTCGGAACCATAGTTATGAATATTTTTATACGAGTTAAGTACTATTTGATGAGATATGGTTGTGTGTTCGGGTATTACATGTGGAGACGTCATATAGAAAATGAGTCGGTCATTTATGATGACAACTCGGTAAATTTTGTTTAAGCTAAACAAATATTTGATGAATCTTCGGTTAATGCATATCACACAATAGTGATGGATGCAACCGGTCCATCATTTAATCCATCTAACACCAACGAAGTCTCAAACCTTGATGCCCATGCATTTTATGATTTGTTGAATGCATCCAATAGAGATATCCGATCCGATTCGGAAAATCACTCACGATTATCCACAATGGCATGTTTGTTATACCTTAAGTCCGAACATCATTCTTCGGAGAAGTGTTATGACGACTTATGTCAACTTATGAAAGAGTTGATGTCTATTAATAACTCGTATGCTAGAAGACTTTGACGAGTACAAAAAGTTGGTGGAACCGATGGGTTTACCGGTTTAACAAATCCATAGCTATATAAATGGTTGCATGATTTATTGGGGTAAAGACAGCGAGAGAATTATTTATAAAATCTATGATCATCCTCGATATCAAAGTCCTAGATGAGGATCGATTAGAGAAATATATGTTCCATATAAAAAATATATTACTTTCTCCTAACCTTACGATTACGGAAGATATATGCGTTGACCGTCACAACCGGTGATATGACGTGGCACACCGAACATGAAATTGAGGTAGACATCATGCATCATTGCTCCGGCTCCTTTACATCACAACATTTCGATCAAACAAATTCTTCTTTTGCATCGAAATCAAGAATGTCATATTGAGAATTTGTATTGATGGGTTTCGGCTTTTTAGTCAATTTGGACAACAATATTCTTCGTGATCCGTAATTGTAATGCCTTATAATTTGCTATCGTAGAAGCATATGAAGAAAGAAAATATGTTTTTAATTATAATTATCCTAGGAACTAAAAACCTAAAGATCAACCTAGACATGTACTTACAATCCTTTAATGAAGAGTTGGTTGAATTGTGGGAAGTTGACGTGCTTACCTATGATATATCCCGTAAGTAGAATTTCCATATACGAGTTGCGATCATATGGATAATCAATGACTTTCTTGCATATTTAACATTATCAAGCTAGAGTACTATGGTTAAAACAACATGCTCATATTGTATGAAAAATCGATGCTTTCGGTCTCCGTAATAGCATAAAGACTTCTTGGTTTAGTTGT